CGACATATGGGTGCTTTTGCTAGACTGATTGTATCTAATCGCCAGCAACGACAAAACACCTAAAAATTCAATGCTTTTTCTGTACACATTTAAACGTAAGATAAAAAAAAAAGTCTTCGCATTTGTCTTGCTTCTAGAGAACTTAAACTGTTAAAATGGATCTAATATTTTGTTTTGGAAATCTTATTTTAAAAGTTCATTGATTTCAATAGATTAAGATTTAAAAAAAAAAAAGAAGAAGAAGAAGAAAGAAACATTATATCATGAATGATGCTTGAGATTCGTGTTGATGTGCAAATTGAAATTTTAATATTTAGAACACTTACACAAATATTAGGTACGAAAAAAAACTTTAAAAATTCTGAAACGGGGTCTAATAAATTATATAATTGTTTTTCTGTCCAACAGCACTTTTTAATTTCAAAATCGAAAGGAAACTATATTTTTGACGCATAGAAAGAAAATTTTAACTCGATATATCCATCGATTGCTACTGAATGCCTATTTATATGTACATTATAAACCATCTGCTATTCCAAGTACATTTGTTGACTTACAATGTATAATAATCTGAGATAGAAATAGTTATTTGAATGGATTCACATGAAAACTGGCTCGTTACCTCTATTTCATTTTGGTTTTCTTGTGTTTCTGTATATGTCTTTACTAAAGATTTGTGAGCAGAATTCTGTTCACAATTAAAGGTTATAGACAGCAATTTTTCATTAAAAAATGCGTTGAAAATTAGTTTACGTTCGACTCATTGAGTTAGAATGAAATAGTTTTGACTCAGTTTTAATTGGCATGTTTTATTATGTTTTACACGCGTAATGGATCTAATATTTTCTCAGAAAACCATATGAAGAAAATTTCATTGTTTCAAACTGTTCAAATTGTTTTTCAGGAGACCTAATTTTCGTCACATGATTGTTCAGTAATATAATAAGTTCATAATATTCATCTGCATCATATTTCACAGTTCTTTTCTTTTTATTATTCATTCATATTTCCTTTAATGTAAGTCATTCATAAAATAATGATCTAGATTAAGTTTTGTATGTTTATCACACATAAGAGACAAGAATTATTAATTTAAGCATTGTAGATTGATTCGTAAACAGGTAATACAGTACATGTGAAAAATACTTAACTTGAAATGCTTTTAAGTTTTTGTGTGCATTTGTATGTTAGTTTGTTATAATGGTACGTTAAATCTATCATGTTGTAAATTCTGAATTTACTAGGTAGAGGTAAATGCAAAGTTTAGTTATCATGTTGTAAATTTTGCATTTATCTTCGCCTAGTAAATTAAAGATTTACAACATGATAAATCTTTGAGTTATCTGGAATAAGAACTAATATGTTTTAATATGATTTATGAATCAGACAAATTTGTACACAAAAAGACACCCAATTCCAGATAAATGAATCTTTTACAGCTTTGCACATGATTTCATATATATGGCTATTTAAATAGGCAAACATTCAATCCAGTTACTTGAATATGTATGCAATCAAGTACACCTGTCATGAATACAAAAATATTTATTTTAAATTTGCATATTTTAAAAACTTACTATGTACTCGATTTTTTTAGCTTAGCATAAATTTATGCATAAAAAGAATGATAAATTCATACCAACGCAATAAATTAAGGAATATATCATTTAATGAAAAAATCCTTTTTATGCCGTGTCTCTGATAATGAAAAGCATAAAAAAGTGATATGAGACAGAACTAGACATCTGTTGGATACTGCTGTGCTGGTGTATAATTTCTTTACACCGTTGTCGATTGTAATAGAAGCCGATTTTACAGCTTTTAATCTATTGCAAACTAATACATCCAACGTGTCACAGAAAACAAGTGAAATTGATCGTGGACGAAAGAGAGAGAGAGAATTTCACCGCTCCAGATCAATGTTTGATCTTCAGCAGTTTGTTTAACTTTCCTCATTTATTTAATAAGATTTTGCACTTAAAAATCGAATTGTAAACCATTCCCAAACAAAAACATCACCAAATAAAGCAGATTACTATAATAGGGGGTGTCACCCTTCAATGTCTGTGGGAAAAGAAAATGACCTTTAATATCTTAAAAATACCCCCCCCCCCCCCAAAAAAAAATCAACGGAAAGGTAATCATTTTGCTACTAGACACGCGACTCAGACAGGGCTTGGACACGCAACTACTTGCCGATAGCCAATCGAAAGACATAAAATACTCTAAGGTTCTTCATCTTCTTTTTTTAATGAATTGTTGGATATATTTAATACCATGAAAAGAAGTTATATTTTTAGCCAGTCAAAACCTTCCTTCAACCCAATCGCACCTGCTTGCCAAGAATCTATTTGAAAATATGTTTCTTTTCAAATACTTACAAATTTCTATGATATTGTATAGTATCAACCTAAGTACATGTTTATATTTGGAGAAACGCATAAAAGAATCGTAGTGTTCTGTCCAGTTTCCAAGATTCGCTTTAATGATGAAAATCAAATGCCAAGAAATCTTATGAAGGTTTGCGTTGATAGAGGACTTTGTTTTGGTTTAAGATCCTGAAAGGAACTCAATTATTTTTGCAATATATTAATCAGTTACGCTCGTCTAACTTTAATTTAGAATTCTAAAGCCATTCGTTCGGCAGTTAGGACTGCCACTTTCACTTATTGACAGATCTAACAAAAACAAACAACGAGTCCAGACAAGTTTGTTATTCCAGTAAAAAGAAAAGACTTAATGATGCCTAATTCTCAGGATTGCCGTGTTAACTACATTACTTCAGCATAACTTTTGTGTTTCCTCGATCCATATTTATTATACAGTATTTGGAACGTCTAAGAGATAATTAAGACATAACTGAAAAATCATGCAAATTAGCTTCCTTGAAAGTACTCCTGGATTCAATATTGTATGAATTTTGTCAATATATTGGCAACCGTACTTAAAGCTTATAAAGGTAGCGTGACATTCAACTGCAAACTGAGAGTAAATGAATGGTATGTGCTTCATCACACCATGTGTCAATGGGAAAGGGGCATCTGGTTCTGTAGGATATATCTACACCTCAATTAAATCATATAGATGTCTGCACATTCCATTGTGACTGAACAGCAGTCACCACAATTGTTTCAAGGAAACATGTATTTCTGGTTATGATAGGTTATTCTTTTTTCTGGCATTTAAATACACTAAGAAATACATATTTGCATAATGACACTGTTTCCAATAGAAATCCATTTCCTGTAAGACCGTACAAAAACTAAAATTGCATATAGATGTCTGCTTTATTGAATTGTAAGTGAAGTGCCAAAAGCAAGACACCTTGTCATATATAAGTGCATGGTTAATTAATCTATATGTTGTTCGTATAGTCACAGGTTCCAGATCTGTCTTACTATCAGTCACTCACAAGACCACACCAGCTGTATTAAAGAGTCTTAGAGACCGAAGTCTAAAAGCTGTACTTTTGCACATTCTAATAAACAGAAATAGCGACAGACTTATAGTCATTAGCATAATCAGCAATATAGGTATTATAATCTTTATCATGACAGAAGTGAAAGAAATGATTTATTTCAGATAAAATGACTGACGTAGGTTAGTGTTCACGGGAGCACAAAAATTTCCACATTTCTTTTATATCTTGCCACACTACTACAGAGAAAATATGATTTATGTGTCTGAGATAATGTAAGAAGGTGCCAGTTACACTTCGGTTTTTCCCCCGAAGTAAATACAACCTCGTTACTTTGATACTTTATCACATAGGACCTCGAAGACACCACCATAACTATCTTATATAACATGAATATAAATACAAGTACTCACATTTCCAACGGCCGTGTCTTATTTCCACATTTTAATTTATTTTCAACTTCAAGAGTTTCTGATAGTTAGGGGTAAAATAATGCTATTATGGTAATTTTTGTTGCTATTGTTCAAATCATGTTTTATGGTGTCTAGTTATCTATCTTAATGATGCCTGCAGCTATGAAAAAACTTTTTTTTACTACCGAACATGATGGGTATGATTTCTATCAGATTCCAAACATTTTCGCCTCCAATCTAAGGAACACTTTTGATGAATAATTGATAACAAGGTTAGCAGAAATACGGATCTCGTTATAATGGGAGTCAATAATATTATCTGAAAGACGATAAAAACAATACAGCACGACCATTTCAAAGATAATTTTTTTTCTAAAAGAGTTTTTAGTTTTTAGAATAATGTCCCTTATCAAAGGTTAAGGAACAACAAACTCAATATTCATAAATCTTTCTGAATGTTGCTCATTATCGAAATCATGATTAAATACTGTGATTCGGTTTGAAGTTCGATTCAGATCCTGCTTTCGGAACGCCCTCTCATACTTCATACAACTCTCACTTTGATGTTTAGATTGTAAAGACTGGGCAATTGATTCTTAATGGACAGTTTTCAATATTTTTACTTTAAGAAAGGATGCAACTAATTTATGAACATATGCTAAAATGTATTCTGTACTAAAATATTCAGCAACAAGTTGTGAGATACATGAATTCTAAATAAGGAACAAAAATTCAACATTATGGAAATCAATACATGTAAATGAAATCTTAACCATCGATTTCAAAGTTAATCTGATTTTCTCTCTAGAATTTGGCGCAGCAGCTTAGTAGTGAAAATTAATACTGAAGCAAAATAAAAAAAAAAAAGAAAAGAAAAAAAAATTCCGTCTGAAATTTATAGTTCTGTATAAAAAAAAAATAGTGAAGCAAATTTAAAATAATAAGTGGTGACAATTTTCTCTCGTTTCACAAAAATTGCAAAACAAGCACCTCTATTTTTTACATAAAGCAAAATTTGATTATTAATAATGTCGTCCTACATTGCTAAAAGCTAATTATTGTATAATATATCCGATGTTCACGAGACAAAAATCCTTATTTCACATTCCACGACATTTTCTCATTAGTGTCTGTTAATTCATATGGATTACGTCTGAACTGGGACTTACCTCCAGGTAGATAGCTAATGGCATCACCATAAGGGCAACCATAAGGTCTGCAACAGCCAGTGAACATATGAAGTAGTTAGTGACAGTCCTGAGACTCCGTTCTCTGTAAACACTCATCACCACGAGGACATTACCAAAAACTGTTAGAAGAGGAAACAAAATCAAGGAGAGAATCCAGTATCGATACTCCCCCTCCAACAAGGGTTTGGAGGTATCATTGTCATACAGAAAGCTACTGTTCAAATATGACATTGTTGACGAGGAATTGGCACTATTATTTACACACATGCTTATGTACTCCGAATCAGTATCGTTCAAACCGGAACATATCAGGTCGTTCCAAAAGTCTGACAAGGACTGATATGTTGTTTCATCGGTGTCACTTCCGGATTGACCACTCGAATACGGCGCAATCAGATTGGCCTGTCTGAGTCCCTCATTCACTCCCTGTGTATTAGTGTGCCAAAGTTTGGAAGTTGTCTGAGCTTGTGAGGACTCGGTTGTGTGTAAACTAGGGGAATCCATTTTGATATCAAAGACTCAGTCAGTATGTTGGATTATAATGTCCACATTGTGATACTAGTTACTCAACCTGTTCATCGAAAACTGTCAAAAGATAATGCACGCCCTGAAATAAATACAGCGCGGTAAAGTATTCCATCGATCGTAGCTTTGTGTGCCATTTGGGGTCTGTTCCTCATACACAGATATGTGATTACTATAGAAAGAACCTTTCACTTCGTTTTAACCTGTAATTAAAATGAAAATGTTTTGTGTAATGTAAAAGAAAAATTTGAGTTTGGGGGAGAAAAATCAAAGGAACAGATTTAAAACATTGATTTTTCACAAAGCAGATACTTTACAATTTTTTGGTTTTAAATTTATCATTGAAAAATGAATATATTTATTTATAACAATAACTTTTCGATACCTATAACTCTTATTAAGTACATTCAAGTCAAAGCATACTAGATAAAATAAATTATATACCGGATAATAGGAAACTAATTATGATATTCTTAATTTAAACCAAAGTCTTTCTAATTGCTAAGTAAAGTTTCTTCCACCAACATCTATCTAAACATTGGAAGCATATTTTTTATTTTTACAAATATTTGAAGTTTTGATAGGTAACAAAGTAAAGACGTTAAGACAAAACTGCTTGTTTACGGAAGCCTGTCTCTATCGGAGGCTAGACATGATGGCACTTCCCATGCAATGCCTAAGTTTTATGTAGCTTTCAACGTATAACTTTATCATTTGATTTGGATCCTGGAGCATGCAGAACGGACTTCTTTGCAAAGGAAACCGAAATAAATTGAATTTAATGTAAGAAAATAATTGTACGTTTCATTCAATTTATTCGAGCTAGCGTGTTTTAGGAATTCTGAGTATCATGCAAAGAAATTAATGATGTTACCAGTGATAGTATCTGTCGTGTAAAAGGCAAAGAACATGTAAACCTTTCCTATATCTATCAATGCTATACCATAAGAAAACATTGTGGCGTATCACTTGTCACTCAACACTAACAATGCATTCAATTTACTCTAACCGGTACTAATAAAAGACGGGGAAAAGAATCCCTCGGTGGTAATAGTGTAACAATTGGCCAAGACCTAACCAATCTATAGTCCCTAATGATAGGCCTAGCGTTTATCTCGGGTCCCGTGATACCTCAGTAATAGACTGGTGTTTTATTTCTCAGGGGATAGAATCTGATGACAACGGACCCGGCTCTTCGTAATGCCCTTCCGCATTGATTTTTCGAAGACATTGGAGTAAACTCGAAGACTTGTCACTGGTCATAAATCTACTTTGGGGCATTAGTAAATGTGGAACAATCACTCATGTTGGCCAGTGGTTGCGGTTCTGAACTCCGAAAGATAAATCTTTGTGTCTCTTATTGTCTGTATTTGGCAAGTTTGTTTGATATGCTTAGAGCTTTTGATTCATTGGGGAATTAAGACTATTGTTTATTTTTGGTGGGTTTCTTTCATTCATCTGGTTATCAAAACACATTTATCTGGTTTATCAATGTGATCAAACCTTTTAAGGTCCGGCATAATTTATCATTTTCGTTTGGTTACCTTAATTGGTAGTGGTGAATGTTATTAAGCTGAGCAGCAATTTGTACAGATTTATTTTATTTACTTGTTTATGTTTTGCCGCCTTGAATTATTTATATTCAAGATGCAAATAATCATATCTAAAATGTTTTAGAATTGATTACAGATTTTTAACCAAAAAAAAAAGAAGAAGACAACAGAAAGAACAAAACAAAACAAATTAAAATCCATAAATAACAATGGTTATTCTAAACTAATAAGGTTATTTATAAATATCATATTTCCAGCATCTTTCTATCAATCATAGTTGGACTTTGTTCTGAAAATCCGTAAATCAGTCTTATAATTGTAAGATTCCCTAGATGTGCGCCAAGAAATTGATACTGCAACACACATAATCGAAAAAAATATATATTGCAAGGTTACCGAAGTACTGGATATTCATGTTTTTTTTGCAAACAAAGGAAAATATAAAAACCTAAAGAATAAGCATCAATTCTAAGAGGTAGGGGTTACAATTATGAATAGATCCAATAATGGATTAATTTCAGATGGAGATTTTTTCTAATAAATTGTATTACTTAAAGTAATTCTTGGTTGTGGAACTTTTTTTCTCTCAAGTATTTTATACTGTGAATATCTAGTAACAAGAATGATTTTGTTGTCGGTTGCACAAACCTATTAGACCCATATACTTCAAAGAACGACAGACGACACACAGTAAACAGATCCCTAACTTTAATTCAAAGCGTCGCTGGCTCTTGTTGTTAACTTGGGTGTGAAAATCGCTAATCGATGCTAATATAATTAAAACGAGTTGTAAATTCAAACAGAAAATATAATCCAATATAACTGCGACTGACTAAATAACACATTGTCTGTATAGTAGGCAGTATAAGAGCTGGACCTCATATAAGTACATTGCGGTCTTGTGTAATTATTTATTGAACTCAGGCTGCCTTTTTCAAACTTTTTCTGAATTGACAATTTCTGAAACCAGGGAATCGACAGAATTGCAATGGAATTTCCAATGAAGTTAACGTCATTTTTCTTCTCTTCTTATTAGTCTAATTTGCGAAATTGAATCTGTTTTTGCACAGCACGCTCCAGAAGTTAGAGGAAAAGTTGCATTATTCGACGTAGCTGTAGCTAATTACTTTCTTGTAAGTTACGGACAAAGGACCAAGTTAAACCATAATATTCAATTTCGATAACCTCGAAACTCGATGTGCATTTAATGACTGTTTTCAAACAGAATGTTTACTTACCAAGATCATGAAAATATGCACGATCCAACTTCCAAATTCTTTTAAAATGCAAATATTGACTCACATTTACAACCTTGAAATACGGATCGCTCTTTAATGTTTGGGGAAAATATCCAAGAAATTTATTTTGGTAGTTGGCTCACGGATTGCCGCGTATTACCTTTTTCACTGAAGTTCCCTACGGAAATTATTTTGTTTGAGGACTGTAATCCAAGCACGCACGTGACAAGTTTCAGAGTGGGATCTCTGTTAATACCCCGTTTAGGTCCTGAGGAAATTTTTATAGTTCGGTCGATACCGCAATCAATTGGTTGTGTGGTTTGGAGAATCCTATATATACGGATTACACCGCCAATATTTAGAGTGACTGGGATACACGGAGGTTGAACATTTTCTCTGACGCTCTTCCCGTGGTCGCACTTGCGCATTGAACTTTTTTGCAACAGTATTGGCCAATTCTTTTCCCTACTTTGAACTTTAGATCTTGATCTATAAAGTTTGCTGTTTCTATTAGCTTATGTAATATCATTTCGGATATCTTTCTAGCTCATCGCTGTTCATAAAAGATATTTCAGACTTCGGAATTCTGTGAATATTAAAGACACTTATGGTGTGAAATTTTTAATCGAAGATAATTTGGTTAATGTCAGATAAGAAAGCCTTTGGTGATGGAAGGGATTCCCGAGCGCTGGTTTAATTGGCTCGTAATTATCCATATCAAAACTTGCTTATCAGTCAACTCAACATGCCACCATGTCAGATTCAGCATGTTCAGTATTCATTCAAAGACCCTTTCACCGTGGGTGAACTGGGATGCATATCTATATCAAACTAAATAAATTCACCTTTCAAGTATCTAAAAATGAAACTGAATTATTAAAATCAAGTCCCAGGTTCAAACAACAAGGCTTTCGTAATTTTAACACATTTTTTTTTAACTTTTAACGATTCAGTGACTGATCATAACATTTGCTTCGATTGTATGGAAGTTACATCGCAGCACCAGAGGAAAATGGTCGTTCTATTTAGGTGACGCGTAATGACTTGCAATAAGTTTCTAAGGTTACTTAAAAGCCCATGTAAGACCAGGTTTTATGAACCTAATAATACTTGGCGCGGGATTTTTTGTAGGGGTTACAATTTAAAAGTCTTTCAGAGATGCTATTTTGTTCTTGGAAAATCGGAAAAGACGAGAAATTATTTTGACATCGATACAGTAGTAATAATATACAAATCAATATTTTCTATATAGGAATGAATGTTTTGTGAACGAAAACCGTTTAAATCGCTCAAAGAATTAGTAATAAAAGATGTTTATTGGTGTGACGTAAGTTGAAAACTCGGTTCTAAAGTATTGACGTAACGATTTGTTCTGTGTTCACATAGTGTTGTCCACTAGTAATGTTCGTACCTAATGATATTTTGATATAGATTACTTAAATTGTTAACGTCAAGAAACTAATACATTAAATGAATTTTTTTTATCGATTTCTTGAAAGAAAAAGTAGTTAATTTGAAATTATAATGAATCCTAATGTATCTCTCCTAGTAATAGAAAGATTAGAGCTTCATGTTTTTAATTATCGTGTTTTAGTAGAACAGAAAAACAGAATGTTTACACTCGATTAAATTAGGTGTAGTATATTTTGAGCTGGTGGATTGAAGTCATCGTGGATAGATTTATCTATGTCGTAGAACATGCATCATATGGGAAATACGACAACTAAATTTTCATGGAAATTTATGTAATTAATTATTTAAAATGAGCTGTAAATGAATAAATCGACTGGGAGCAAGTAGCTCTACATGATCGAGAATAGGAGTATTGTAGCTGCAGATCTGTAGCTCGCTAGTCTGAAAAAAAATTGTGATGGACGACCATCCCAATTTTTTTTTAGACAAGCGGGCTACAGATCTGCAGCTAGGAGTATTGCTAAAGACGGCTATATATTATTCTGGGTGTTTTGGTGTTTCTATAATAATAATTTTCATTTTCACTGTGATGCATAATTGTATATTACCATTTATTACATTTTCAACAGTGAAACTGTGATTTATTTATTGAATAAATGTTATATTCTATCACTGTGTGAAAGAATATCAGTGATATTCTGTCACAATGTGAGTGCGGAAAAACACTCGATTTTCTTTCCCTTCACGAAGGATGTTCTAAAACGTACTCACTGGACTGTTAGATAGAGAGAGAAAATAAACCATCCTGACAGAGACTAAAACTGCAAAAGTTTCTCCAAATATGTTGTTGAAATTCATGTTTACAATGTTTCCATTCTCACAATTGCTAAGTTATAACATCTCAAGGCTCAACTATGACTTCACATCCTATAACACAGTGTTAAAAGACAGAGGCAACAGGAAAATCAAAGAAAATGTAATAAACAAACAAGATGTGTTTGTGAAACACTGATGCCCCCGTATGGTAGCTTATTGCGAAGGTTAAAGTTTCTCAAATGCAAGTCAAAATCCAGGCCAAAAGATAAAAAATGTTGGTACCCAAAGAAAGGTCTTGTCTCGAGGAATATACCTGTGAAATTTTAAAGCCCCAGCTCCAACTGTTCAAAAGTTTTGGCGAAGATTAAGGTTTTTTTAAGTAAGTAAAACGTCAAGGTCAAGGTCAAAGTTGTTGGTATCGAAAGGAAAGTCTTGTCATAAGGATTACATATGTGAAGTATGAAAGCCCTAGCACCAACCGTTCAAAAGTTATGGCCAAGGTTAAAGTTTTTCAAAAGTAGGTCAAACTCCTAGGTCAAGGTCAGAGGAACAAAGTGGTTGGTATCCAAAGGAAGGTCTTGTCACAAGGATTACATATGTGAAGTATGAAAGCCCTAGCTTCAACCATTCAAAAGTTATGGCCAAGGTAAAAGTTTTTCAAAAGTAGGTCAAACTCCAAGGTCAAAGGGTCAAAGTGGTTGGTATCCAAAGGAAGGTCTTGTCACAAGGATTACATATGTGAAGTATGAAAGCCCTAGCATCAACCATTCAAAAGTCATGGCCAAGGTTAAAGTTTTTCGAAAGTAGGTCAAACTCCTAGGTCAAGTTCAAAAGGTCAAAGTTGTTGGTATCCAAAGGAAGGTCTTGTCACAAGGATCACATATGTGAAATATGAAAGCCCTGGCACAAACCATTCAAAAGTTATGGCCAAGGTAAAAGTTTTTCAAAAGTAGGTCAAACTCCTAGGTCAAGGTCAAAGGGTCAAAGTATCCAAAGGAAGGCCTTGTCACAAAGATTACATATGTGAAGTATGAAACCCCAAGCACCAACTGTTCAAAAGTTATGGTCAAGGTTAAAGTCTCATAAAATTTTGCAAAAGTGGATCAAACTCCAAGGTCAAAAGGTCAAATATGATGGTACCCAAAGAAAGATCTTGTCACAAGGAATAAACATGTGAAATATGAAAGTCATAGCTCCAACCAATCAAAGGTTATGGACAAGGTTAAAGTTTTCGCGGAGAAACAGACAGACAGAGGGACGGACAGGGCAAAAACTATATACCCCCAAATCTTCGATACGGGGGCATAAAAATTCAATGTTTTGTGGTTGAATATAGAATTTATTTCACTAATGAGACAGGATGTTTTGATATTTTCACTTGTGCTTCGCACTCGTGAAATTATCAAAAAATCTGCCCCATGCACTCATGAAATAAATTCCATATCTAAATGCAAAACATTCAATATACTCTATATAATTATTTACATTTGCATTTTGCTTTAGATGAATTTAATGAAGAGAAAATATGCTCAATTCTGTATTCATGAATTTATTAGGGGGTCAGAAGTCATAGCGTGACCGAATCAAAGGCGAGATGATATTTTGCCCAACGTATTTGAGTTTTACGTATTTGAAAAGTTTCATTTATGACAGTGAACTCTCATAAAGACGATTTTATATTGAGAAAATCCTCATTATAAATATACAATTATGGACTCTTTTGGTGATGAATATTGCCTCACTTCTTTCAATATTGATATTTTTATGGTGAATATCAAACCATGTTCACCACCAAAAGAGTCCATAATTGTTTTATTGTGTAGTTCAGTTCCTTAAAAATAAGACATAGAAAGCTGCATGACGACACCATTTTCAATATGACGGTACCCAAAGAAAGGTCTTGTAACAAGGAATACACATGTGAAATTTGAAAGCCACAGCTCCAACCAATTTGAACTTATGGACATTGCAGGTTAAAGTTTTTTGTGTACATACAGACAGACAGACAGATGGACGGACAGAGCACAAATTATATGCCCCTGAATCTTCGATTATTGGGCATAAAAATCCGTCATTGTTGCTGCACGCGCATTGACCCTCCGGTGAATACAGCTTCAAATCCAGTGTTAATGAACTTATGTATAATATACTATTGGTGAATATTGGCACGAGTTGGCTGTACAAATGCACGAGCTTGCGAGTGCATTTGTACGGCCAACGAGTACCAATATTCACCAATATAAGTTCAATAACACATTCATTATATAGCTAAAACATTTCCCATTGATTTAATTTAATCATTTCAATTTAATAATTCAGAATTAATAAGAATTTTTCAATATCGGTATTCAAATAAAAACAAAAATTCAATTTAATAACTCAGAATTAATGAGAATTTTTCAGTATGGGTATTCAAATAAAAAAATATAAAAACTGTGCTATATCAGCGTCCTTCCTTAAGTGTTCAATATCACATCATTCCAAAGACCCCACCAAGCGTTATGGTTTGCATATTAACTGAGGTTTTTAATTAGGCTAATAGGTACTAAATTATTATTAATTATAATTTCAATTTTGAGTGAAAAAAGACGCATCTTACCTAGCTGCCACTAATCTTTATAAATAATGCCTTTGGAAGGTTGACCAGACGACATTTTTTGTTTATAACGGGGCGTTCGATATTGAATACTCGCATTCGAAATGTTCGGGACATACTCGTATATGTTATGCAAAATCAGCTTTCAATAAAACGCCAAGATATTGAAGGCTGAAATTCTCTTGACTTTTAGTAGTTTTTTTATTTTAGACTATTTATTAGCTATTATGTAAATATTGCATGTTCTTGAGTGTAACATTGAAAATTTTTACCCCAAGAGGCCCAGCTGATGTTGACAATGGTTTTCTTGGGGTAAAAATTTTCAATGTTACACTCAACTTCATGCACTATTTATTATATTATACTGAATGTTTTATACAAATACATATTAAAGTGAACCTTGCGCGCATAAATTCTGCGCAGTCAATATTTATTGGAATATCACCGTCGTCAAGCAATGTTTACTGTTGCTACGCTGGAGGGCGTGGCTTCATTATTCAGCGGGTAATAGTGTTTTTTAACAAATGTTTCTCGACGAATCAGATTCAACTAATTTACATGAAAGTATAAT